AATGCTGGAAAAAAGATAAACTGCACTTCAAAAAAGTGAATCAAAGTTGTTAGACAAGAACAAATATTGTTCAAAACTTTGATAAAAGGTTTAGATCCACTTCAAACTATTGAATATATATATATATATATATATATATATATATATATATATATATAGATATATAGATAGATAGATATATAGATAGATATATAAGTAGAAAACAGGGGTGAACATCTTTCTCTTTTTTATGAATTAATTGCTGTCTGCACACATCCGTCACGAACATCTTTACTGCTAATCTCGAGCAACAGTTGTCAGTTGTTCTATATTTGCTGACAATTTATGGACTGTGCAACATAGACACTTAAACACTGCAATATATGCCACGCCTAGTTTTTTTTCTCCAAAACTTCTAATGCACCAACAAAACGCTAAAATACTTCATAAACAACCTTCCAGGGTTATTATCTAGCACGAATGGTATTTATCGTGCAATTAATACGCAGTTTTCGCGTGCAGCATTTTTATTGCGTGTAATATCCACGCACTTCACACCACTAATCCAGGCCAAGGGGTTACAGTGCGTATCATATGCAAAAACACAAAAAGCGCTAACATAAACATCCTGCCAGGGTTATGATCAGGACTGAAGCATGCATTTAAAATGCATGTATCATATGCACGTAAAAACTCTTTTTCTGCGTATAAGTTGCAAACGATAAATACAATTCGTGCTATAGACACGCATTTCCATGCACTCAGCACGCATGTCCTACCTGAGAGGCGAGCACGTGCTGCTGCAGGTGGAAGGGCATCGGTTGGCCCGTGGGTGAAGACATGCTCCCGGGCTCCATCGCACTGACCCCTCCCGAGGACACCGCGGCCAATAGCGGGCCCATCCCCGCAGCCATGCTGGAGAACGCGCCTCCCATGCTGAACTGGCCCGGGTGTAAGAGGAAGGGATGGGTCATTGAACCGCCCAAGTGATTGAAAAACTGCTGCCCAGCCAAACCCTGCGGAAATCCGAAACTGTGCAAGTGGTTTTGATTCAAGTGCGCGGCGCCATCTGTTTGGACAGTCAATGGCATGTAGTTTTCTTTGCTGGCTGTCCGGGACTCGTCGGCTTTGGCCGGTTCTCGGGCTGTCGGACTCTTGAGCTCGTCCCCGGACCGAGTGGTGCTCGAGATCAGCGTGACGGGACTCTCTTTCTCAGTCCTCTCACTTTCCCCAAACACACCTTTGCTTAAACTCGCATCGGGGTCCTTCGAGTCCTCGGTCGTGGTGGAGATTTTACTCGAGTCTGGCACGTCTTTCGCGTTCCCATCTTTGTCTTCGTCATCACTGTCTTCATCGCTGTCACAGAAGTCTGCGAGAGGAAAAATCGGGAAGGGAAACTCAGTTAGTGGCGACACGAAATGCAAGCGAAACAAGTAATAATTTAGAGTATTTTAAAAGTAGGAAATTCAAAATATTTTAATTAAGTACAATCATGCATTAGTGATTCGTTTGGAGATTCTGCTTTGGGTCACAAGCAAGCGATTAGCTATATCGGAATAATCGGAATGCCATTGAGTCGCATTTATTAGGACATTCCAAAGGAGAAAATGTTGATTTGCATCACGTGGGTTTAGACAAATCGTGAGCAGAGGTAGAGATTATTATACCCTTTAAGTTGTTCTGTCCGACCGTGGAGACCGCAGGAGAAGAGTCCCGGCGGAAGCATTTGAAGGACGCCTGTTCTCCGGAGGAATCGTCGGAAGTGCCGTTCTCCTTCTTCTGCTCCTCGTAGGAACGCATCGACTGCAGAGCCAGCTGTTTTCTGTAGACACGATATTGAGGGAAACATGTCAGTGCAAACAAACTAATAACTGCATTGGAGAAAATCATGTGCGTGACTTTTTAATTAGCAACCATATCTTTCTTTCTTTCTTTCTTTCTTTCTTTTTTTTTAAATAAAATGCTTTCATGCAAAACGCAAATAATAAGTGTCAGGTTGTGGATTTCAGGATGTTCTGGAATGCTGTGAAAGCTCGTGCTCTCCTACCTTTTTTCGCGTCTCCCATTTCCAGTGTCACGAAACCCTTTTGCAAAAGGATTGTGATCAATTTTCAGTTGTGTGATCTGAAATGCAATGACAGGTAATCGGTATAGCTTGAATAAAGATAACATGTCCTCCAGTTTCATCAACCTGAAAACACGTATTTATAGCATATTGAAACATATTCAACAGATACTTTGAGTCATGACTCATTGCTATCAGCTTTGATAAGTTATAGTTTAATATGCTGGCCTATAAGCGTTTACTTTTAACATACAAAATATTATGCATGCAGTGACTTGTCTTAAACCTTTTAAGTTATTCTCACTGAGGTATCACTGGGATTTTTAGGGAAAAATTGGAGCCATTTCAAGCTCATAAATATTGGAAACCTTTTTTATGTCTACAACCCCACAACATGAATTCAGTCCCTCCTCCTCGTTACCCCAGGAGCATTTCGTGTCGTAACATTTCCTGCAGTTTCCTGGAGTGTTAATATTTCAGCCGTTTTCTAACAAATAAACACACAATGTTTTTCTCTTCTTCAGAACCTCCCACTATGGCCAGTCCTTCCACACACACATACACACACACACACGCACACACACATACACACACACACTGTATCTCTCCCCTTGCACTAACTTTCTGCATTTTTAAATAAAATAAAAAAGAAACTCATTCAGAGGTGCATTTCCCAAAAGCATCATTACACAGAGAGAGAGAGAGAGAGAGAGAGAGAGAGAGAGAGAGAGAGAGAGAGAGAGAGGAGAGAAGAGAGAGAGAGAGAGAGAGAGAGAGAGAGAGAGAGAGAGTTGGCAGCATGCATGAACAAACTTTTGAATAACTATAATTAAATGGAAGAAAAATTGAAGGTAATGTGTATGTGAAACAAAAAGTGAAAGATTGAGAAAGTGTGTGTGTGTGTGTGTGTGTGTGTTTTCTGCATTTGCTAAAGGTTTTGCAATATGATGTAGGCCTCACAGTGATCCATCTAATAATCACAGAGAACAAATACAGTGCATATAATAACTACGAGAACGTTTATAAGAAAAATACTGAAAACACATGCAGGGAGACATTAGCGTAGAGTCCGATTCGACCCAGAAAGCTCGGTTGACCCACCTTGTCGTTCTGGTAGGCAGTGACAGCAATGAAGTCCGTCTCGGGGAACACGTATGTCCTGAACGTGCTGTACGGGAGCTTCAGGATATCGTTGGCTCTCACAATGTGAAATCTCGGCTGGTATTTGTGCATGGAGTTTAGTATCGTCTGGAATATAAATAAAGCCGATCTTGACTTCCAAATAACATTTTCACGACGGGTAAAGGAATCGTTTTCATGAGGCACATTTTCTGCATGGGTTTTGCACACGTTGAAGCCCCCCCCCCTCCCTTTAATCAACGCGCTCGGATAGTATTTAATGAAATTTCCCTGACAGTGCAAAGCCTTTAACAATACATCAACAAATAGCATTTGAACAACAATAATAATCGAAAAAGACGTAGCTAACTTACAAATCCATGCTTGTCGGAGATGTTATTCGTCAGTTTAAGTTTGTGGAAATTGACGACTTTAGACATCCATTGCTCTCCAGTGGCCGGACTGTCGGGGTGAATGTACATGCGTTTTGGCATTTCGGGGTCAGCTTTTCCTGCCACCATCCAGCGAGAGTTGTGGAACTTATACCTGCAGTCGTCCGCCGCTACGATATCCATCAACAGAATATATTTGGCCTTTTTGTCCAATCCCGAGCATCTGACTTTAAACGGAGGGAACATTCGCCTACAGAAAAGAAAGTTGAGTTATATTTCTATATTTCAGATAAGCTTGTGCATGAGGCTAAAATCTGCACGAATCCTGGACTGGATTTACAGAAACAATCATTTCAGATATCTGCGATGTTTTTGTGGTGTGTGTGTGTGTGTGTGTGTGTAAATAAGGCCATTATATTTAACTTGAAAAACAATTCAACATTTAAACGGCAAAACTACGTTACAACCAAAACGAGCTATTTCGACACCATTGCATGGGCTATATTTTTATAATACAACAAGCTGTGAATTTCACTGTTCAAAATCAGCTTTTTTGGGAGCACAGTTCGCATACGCACAAGACAGTAAAAATGCTGGATTGTTTTAATCCAATTTTGGCTCAAATACGGAGTGTTTGGTTAAAAATGTAAAAATGTATCCTAACGCCTGGGTTTGTCCAAATTTGACCAAAATTTATTTTGACCCAGCTTTTATTTATTTTTTTAGAGTGTGAGCTAAAACGATTAAACCAGCGATGAATGTTTGATTCTAAAAAAAAAATCTGGGTTGTTTCAACCCATGTTTGGGTCAAATTTTGACAAACCAAACCACTGTGTTAAAAATATAATTAAAAAATGTTTCAATGGTTTGGTCTGTCCATATTTGATTCAAATTTGTGTTTTTTTTTTTTTTTTTTTGTAAGTAAAATTATTAAACCAGCAATGCATTTTTCATTACACTCTAAAGATAATGGCTAATGCTGGGTTGTTTTAATATGGACAAACCCAACCGTTGGGTTAAAAATGTAATTAAAGAATGAAACCAATGATCCATATTTGATCCAAACATGGGTTGAAACAAACCAGCATTTTAGGCCTATTCATGTTGGGTTGTGTTTTAGAAACATTTGCACATCCCCAAACAGAAATAAAAGAAACGATAAAAAGCCCATCCCGTGTCCCAGAATTGCTTGTCTGAAGAAAACCATGAGTCACTCAAATCAATAAAACAATTATATCTGATATGGGCTATGATCTCGGTTTCTAGCTATAGGCTATTCGGCCTGATTGAATTGAAAGCACGGCTCGTTTATTGAATTATTCCAAGTTTACCTTCCAGATTTCGTGATGACCATTTCTGTGCCGCGCTTGTGAAACAGATCCCAGAGCTCCTTGGCTTCCAGGTGCACTTTCGGGTCGTCGTCCACCTCCTCCTCGGGCTCGAGTGTCTTCAGAGGCCGGAGATGCGAGGCCTGGTGTCCCAGAGAGGAGAAGTGGAGGCCGGTCTCTGCGGTCATCAGCTGCTCCATGATCGGCTTGCCCAGCGCCAGCGAGCCCGAGGGTGGCAGTGCCAGGGCCGGGAAGAAGGGCGGCTGGTGACCCAGCATCGCGCTCATGGCAAACTCCGGACTCCGGTGAGGTAAAAACGGGTGATATGCCATACTGGATCCTTGAATAACTGGATCTCTCATCGGAAAGCTCATCCAAGTCCAGATTGCAGAGGTGACGCGGTGTTCCTTAAAAACGAGAAATCAGCTAGAAACGAGTCAGCGCTGGAGAAGTGCCTCACTCGGTGCGCGAGATTCTGAATTGTCTCACTAGCTCGATTCCATAACACGAAAAGTGTGTAAAAGAGAAAGTGAGAAACAGCGATCCATTAATCTGCCGCTTGTCTGAGAAATCGAGAAGAAAAAACAAACCCCGAAAGATTAAATGAATTAAAGACGCGGTGTTTGTCGGGTACCTTCAGCTTTCTTTAAAACAGACATGTGATGATAATAATGAGATCGTCCCGAGTCCTGCCAAAGAGATGTGTTGAAATATTTCGTTGCCTCGGAATAATTCCTCTGTCTTTACTTGTTGGAGGGATACACCTTCACACGCGCGCACACACTCGTCCTCTCTCGCGCGCACACACACATCTCACACACGATCCGTGGAGAACGGGGTCCAGCACGGAGATGTTCCCAGCGCGTCTGAACTCCATGGGATTCGGTGTGTTTGGATGTGTTGCGTGTTTCGAGCTCCAGCTCTCTGTTGATTGGCTCTTTCACGCTTTCGGACCAATTGTGTCGCTCCGTAGGCGTGGTTTTAACAGGTCGGGTGGAGGGGAAAGACTTCAGACTTATAAAAAGGTGTTTGAGAACTCTATTGCTGCCGCGAAACAGCGCTGTTGTGTGAAGATGTCAACATCATTAGGACTCGCATCTGTCGGGCTGTGGGACCCGGAAAACAACATGAACTTCAGGACTCGTGCGCACAGCGTCACTGTTGGCCTCGTTTCGCGCACACAACATCAGGTCTCGCTCCGCACGGGCGCTATTACACCTGGAGAAGATAGCGCGTCAAAATCATTACTGAGCATATCATTAATCCGGAGATATTAATGCAGATCATCAGCGTTTAATGTTATGCGGGGAATCACATTTGTTTCAGCAAAGCGCTGTGCCACGAATAGGCTAATCGTGTCCGAACGGATAAATCATGCTTTCATTTTTTAATTATTAGCCTATTATTTGAACACTTTCAGAGCTTCTGACTGTTAGATTAAATTGGATGTCAGAACGAAGACAAACTAAACATGGTGTACAATAAATTATTTGATAGATAGAAAAGGCGATCATAACAGACACCAAATTCGCATTCGATCACACATTTAATTTAATGTGCTAAAGTTTATTTTAGAATAATACAGGCCTATCGATCGCCTCATCACTTTATATTCAGGAACCATTTTTATTCATCTCTCCCACACACACACACACACACACACTTCTCTCTCTCAATTTCAAGACTGCTCGCGACTATATAAATATTCCCCTGATGTGAGTTTCACTGTATTGTTCAAGACACAAAGAACATAGGCTATCGAATGTCTAAAGAGTGTGATTTTTAAATCACTGACAAACACCCTTAAATTTATTAAAGTATAAATAGCTATATCTTTTCTTTTTTGTTCTTATTTTTGTGTGTGTGTGTGGGGGGGGGGGTAGATAAAAAAAATCAGTGTGTAATGAGAACAGAGCTGTTGTTTTCACTGATTATCAGTGTGTTGCTCAATTGTGTGTGTGTAAATGCCTCAGACATGTTGATAACCGACGCATCTGTCCTGTCCGGCGCCGGACACAAACACGGGATTAATTCACACGTAAACAACAGAGTCTCGGTCAGCCGAACAGCGGCCGCAGGGACCCGGTGATCGGTCAGCAGAGCGAGTTTATCACCCTTCATCAAGTGGACAAACACTGTCACTGTCATCTCTGACATCTGTCCTGCGCAGCTTTGCTTTGGGTCTAATAAACAACGACTCAATAATGAGTCTGTTTTTTAGCTATAGGCAAAGATAATGAAAATAAATATTTGGTCGCTATGCGTCCGTGCATTTTACTATATTGTGTGTAGTGTACAATAATGCTAACTGATGTCGGATTGCTTGATGAAAATAACACTGATTTCCCATAAACTCCTTATTTAAAGTAATCAGCATGACTGGGATTTTGAAATATTATACGCGCATTCTGTGTGACGTTAGTTATGAATGTGATCCTATCAAAAAGTATTTGTATTTATTTATTAATATTTATTGATTTACTCTAGAAATTGCAATCTTCCCAAAACATGTCGAAAATAAAACATTCACGACTGTGTTCATCGCTGACTTCTTGATCTGCTGATTTCAATGTTTTTGCACGAGTTGATTCATTTTTAAATAATCATCTCTAATTAAATTCCTTTTTAAGGTGTTAGTGACAAGGAGTCAGTGTTATAGTAGTATCTCTCATGCATTCAGTAATCAAGTTCTCCAGATCGGCCTTATTTAAAGCTTTACGGGATCAAAAAACCCGCAAGATTAAGTTTAGTCCTGCCAGTCACTTTTATGAACGCGAACCCAACATGTGCAGATATTTTAGCATTGTTGATCAGTCAATTCTCAAATATCTGCACAAATGGAGCAAAGAAGTGTCACTGAGGTCAGATACCGGATCAGCAGTATTAACCCAATTTTGGGTCAAATATGGACGAATTCAAACATTGGGTTAAAAATGTAATTTAAAAATTAAACCCAATGGCTGGGTTTGTCCATATTTGACCCAAAATTGGGTTAAAACAACCCAGCATTTTACGAGTGCATGAGGTCACACACATCACACTGGCTGCTAAATCTGTGAGGAATGAACACACACACATCCTTCACATTCTTCTGAGGTATTCAGCAGTTCCCGGTGACAGAGCGGTTATCCTGTTGGCACACCGCAGTCTCTGCTTAGTTTTAACCCAAATGTGGGTCAAATATGGACCTTTGGGTTAAACATTTTAATCTAACGTCTGGGTTAGTCTATTTTTGACCTATATTTGTGTTGAAAAAAACCTGCAGTTTTAGAGTGTATGCAGTGTAACATCATATTTATATTATGAAGAGAATCTTTCAGTCTTGCTGACCTTGAAGTCTGAGACTTTACTCCATACACACACACACACACACACACAGGGAGAGAGAGAGAGAGAGAGCTGTATCATGTCATGTAGTGCTTTATAACAAGTTTACACTTGTTGTTTTAACAAATCATTACACAGCAAATAACAAGATTTTAGGTAAAAAAAATCATGTAGGTTATCAATTAGTTCCTCTAATTGGCAACAAATTAAAACTTTGCACCATTTTAACTAAATGATTGTTATTTTAGAATGTAATGTAGCCCCAATGTAGCCTCTTAAAAAATATGATTTTCACAAAAAGTTAACATATGTATATGCCTCAGCGATGAGCCGAGGTCTGGGGGTTCGGGTTAGGATTCGGATCTGGCCCAGGCCGCACGAGGTCTGCCGGATCGGATCCGGCCCGGGCCGCACACACGTAGAGCTGCGGAGGGATCGGGATTTACTGCAGGGAAACTCTTGTAAATTCACTTCAAGGCTGGCAAGATTGAATTTCTTTCCAGCATTAGCAGATTTCTATTTAATGAACCCTACTGAAATGTTGTGGTGAGGATCTTTTCCTTTAGAGCACATATTTTCATTTTATGAACGTGTACCCAACATTTGCTCAATTTGTGCAGATATTTAAGAATGTAACTTATCATATTTCAGTACCTAATTGTGTCCATGCACAATTCTTCACACCATTTTAAAAGAAATAGACACATGCTGGTCTGTGTTTTATGATCTGCATAATCTCTGCATATACTGGAATATAAATCAAACTCTCCCATCCATGCATGTCAGCAACTGGTTCAAGAAGCTAAATTATGGATAAACCAAATATGAATTTCAAGAGAAAGCTATACATTCTACACACTGAATGGTGAAGTAAATGTTCTTTTACGGGGTTCTGTCTCTGACACATTGCAATTATTGCACTGATTAAAGCATCTAATCTTGGTGTATTCATTCTGTAATGAAGCTTCATGAGGCTGTAATAACCATATTCATGATCACTGAGTGTTGTTTTGTTCGGTCTTGGTCAGATTAGTTGGAGGGATCTCCAGTATAACACCCGTCCATCACTGCAAACACCAATAAATCTGATGCAATCACACAGGAATCCACCAATGACTGTCCACACCATTAAAATAATCTACGTTTCAATATTTGTGGACTTTTATTCCTTTTAGAAAAGTACAACAATACAGTCCCTCTTTATGTATGGCTAGATAACTGTCGATGCTTATGTAGGCAGTATTTAGGAAACGACGATTATAGAATATTCACAATCACACTAAAGGACACGTGACTCTATAGGAGACAGATATTATAATTGATTCTGTAATAAAGTCTAAAGTATTTAAAGAAAGTTTCTTGAAGTTTCTCATTTTCATTGAGCACTTTAGGTGTGGGAAACCCAGATGATCGTGTTGGGAAAGCAGTTTTATCAATCGCTCGGGGTTTTGAAGGGTTTCTGTAACCGGTTGAAGCGAAATGACTTCTTCAAAACAAAAGGAAGTCGATTGCGGTTTTGAGCTTTCATCTATTAACGTTCCCACAGATGTTTTGCATGAAGAGGGGGAGTGTTTCAGAGTCTGGGCGAGCTGATTGGAGCAGAAAGTGGCAAATAAGATGGAAGTGAACTAAAAAATAACTTCACTCGTCTAAACGTGTAATATAAACAGGCGAGCTGAAGATTTCTCGCTTACACTGACACGCTTAAGGGGGATACAGGGTGTTTTTAATTCCTTCAGCTACTGTAAGCAAAACACACACACACACACACACACTGTGTAGGACACTGTAGAGTTTTTTCATGGCGGTATCCAAGCCAAACAAAGGTCAATTCTATTATTCAGAAATTTATTTTAGCCTATTGAAATGGCTTTATTAAATATTGGCTACACCCGCACACAAGAGCCTCTTTAGAGGAGATATCAAAATCAGAGGTGTTGGTATAGGCTGAAAAAAACACGCAAATTGCCCAAAACAGGCTCATGGTATCTCCTCGCCCTTTTTTGAAAATTGGAGACGCGTTCGTTTACGATCTCATTCATGGGTTTTTTTTTATCTGATCACGTTGTCACATCATACGAAATCGTAGTTTGTAAAATCCGTGCAGGTGATAGGGATAAATTTAGGAGATCTGGAGATTTATCCCGCATTGAGATCTGCCATGTTATGCTATCGGGCAACCGGAGCAAATTTTAACGCGACAATTTAATAGCCTACAATTGTGATGATAAAGAGATTGGGAAGCGATAATTTAGCACACTCCCTGGCAAAGGTCTTGTTGAGAAAAACAATAGCCTCTTTAGATTTCTTGTAAAATAACTATCACTATTATTAATATAGTTTCTCATTTGAATCAGAAGCTGCTTTAAACAACAGCATCAGGCCTTTGCACACTGCGAAGTTCAAATACGTTTTAAACGTGTTATTTTCCTCCGTGCCGCTTGTGACACCAAACTCGTGCCTGTCTCTAATAACAAACAGTGGAAGCACGAATAAAGATAAGAACGATAGTTTTACATCCCATATAACAATGACTTTTGGGGAAACTTGCGTAGACTAAATTAATGAATAAGCTCAGAGTAATTTATGGACCTTTCATCATCCACCTGCATATATGCGGGTTTATGACACGTCATAATTGTGTTTGACTCTCAAATCAAAACAGACAAATTCATACTTTCTCTGATTTCACCCTATTCAAACACCCAGAGCACCATTCAGCAAACCAATTAAAATCCGATTAGGAAACATTTTGCTCGTCAGGCCGAGGCAGCGACGAGCCCGTGACCTCTCGGCACCGGGTCATGAACTAATCAGATCCATGGCCCACAAAGAGGCTTCACAATGTCCTTGGAGACCGACTGTGGCCTGTGCGACTTTGACATACATAGAACATTAATTGTTCGCTGTATTAACGAGGAAGGTGGGATATTCCAGTTAATTAGTCGCGATTGGATAAGGGTGAACATTATAAGGTTCGTCCGGTTGCTGGGGATCATCTTTTGTGTGTGTTAAATGAGAAGTGAGTATCGCTGTGCCTGTGTACAGTGTGCTTCTGTGAACTGGCGACAGCTCGAGTCCATGATGGGAAAAACGCAAATCACAGGACCTCATTATCTCATTTTTATCGCCATCTTTTGGGAGCAAGCCTTAATCAAACGTGGCACCAAACTCTCTCTCTCTCTCTCTCTCTCTCTCTCTCTCTCTCTCTCTCTCTCTCTCTCTCTCTCTCTTCTCTCTCTCTCACACACACACACACACACACACACACACACACACACACACACACACACACACACGAAACCCAGGCTAAGCAAACAGAGCACAGAAATCAGTAAACGAGGGATGTGTGCGGCATATTCTGTTTAGAGTCCATAAAGATGAACGAGACGCAGTTAACAGCGTGATTGTGTAATCCAGTATAACTTCTGAAATACTTTAGGGTGTTGCTAATGGTTTGCT